CTTAGTCATTGAAACGATCCTAAGGGCTTTCTCAGCCCAACACCCTAAAGGGCCAACACCGCTAATATCTTCACTAAAGTGCTCCCGCCTCATGTTCATGAGCGACTCCGTACAGAGCTTGGCCTTGTCTTAGCAGGACCTCAATTGTTATGTTCTTGATCTCTGTACACTGTACTAGGTTTGTTTTTGACTAGTTATGCTCACTGACTGTCCTTGTGACTCTTTGTCTCGGAGGCTGGACTAGTAGTGCCGCCCTGAGTTGCTCTCGTCTTCTGGACACTGCCCTTCCCTAGCCTAGGGGGTGTGACGACGTACACATAGGTGTTTGTCATTGTAGGCTAGGTTGGGTTACACTATAGAGGGTATGGAATGCTATAACTAGCCCATTCTTTCAATTGACACTGACAACAGGGCTAATTATTGGATTTTAGCAACCCTTACGATCAGTGTTGCACATTCCCTGAACCCTGATTATCAGTGTGACCCCTTGTGAAAAAACTTTTCCATCAGGTTTTTTCCTTGTTTTAATTTACCAACCCTGAACCATCAGTGTACAATTTTTTCGAACCCTGTTCAATTTGTTATTAACAGAGCAGACAATATCAATCTTAGTCATCATCATCAGACATGCCACACGGGTGTTGCTCGTGGTCACTTTCTTCTTCTGGCTCGGGCAATTTCTCTTTCCCCTTTCTTTCCACTGGGGTCGCCTGCGCAACTGACTTCGCCGGCCGTCTGCTTTTCTGCTTGCGCCAGATGTCCACCACATCTGGCCACACGTACGGGTACTTGAGCATGTGCAGCGTCATGAGGTCGCCAAGGCGTGCATCGCCTAGCAACGTGCGCATCCAGCTTTTGATGATGTTCTGGCGGCTGAAACCTCTTTCACACTCAACTGTGCTCAGTGGCAGCACTGCGAGTGCCTGCCACAGTGTCATCAGGTTCGGGTAGCTGCGTCGCCAGTCTCTGCTCTTCAGCATGCTATGAAGTCCTTGGTGGAAATCCTTCCCCCCCGTGATGACGTGCCAAGATGTGACAGAAGCTCTTCAACTCCTTCTTCGCCGCCTTGAAGTTTAATCCTGACGTGGACGGGGATTTACAGGGTGGATGTAAGGGTGTGGTTATGATTGGTTTGTGCAATACGATGACATGCAGCGAGGAATAAGATTCGACGGATGGCATGTACGAAATCAAATCTTACCATGGAGCATGCCGCCAAATAGCTCGTCGTTTTGTGCCAGCCAATCCAGGCACTTGATCTCCCTCTGGTCCTCCCTGGACGGCCACGATTCCACTTGAAACAGCTTAGCGCCGCCCATCTGCTGCAAGTCCCACATGCGGAACTTCATCCTGGCCACGATCTCCTTCGCGAACCCCGTGCACAACTTCACACAGTCAGCGAGCATGCCCTGAAATTTGTGCTTCTTGATTGGTTTCTCGCTGAGTTCGAATCGATGTGATGTCGGCCGCCCATCGCTGTCAATCCCTTCAACCACAAGCGTCCGATCTTCCCCGCCGTGGTCCTTGATGAATCTCGACAGTAGCTTGCTGACACCGCCTCCAAAGGTCTCCCCGTACTCGATGTAGCGGTGCGTGATGATGGTGATCGTGCGGTCCACTTCCTTCGCCACTTGGGTGATGTCGACCTGGGAAATAAAGAAACCACAAACAATTTAGTACAGTAAATTGAGAGATACATTCGACTTTACCGAAAGTACTAATCCACTTGCCTTGCGATGCTGGAAAAACCTGTTGAGGGCGTTTAGCTCTGCAAGAATGTCTGCCAGAAAGTACAAACAAAAGTGAAACTTAAAAGTTTTCACTATTGCTGCCATCTTGTGGCCGTACTCCACAATCATCACTATCGCTGCCCCGAAAACTCTGCACAGCCGTGCGATGGCGTCTCCCCGTGACAGCCAGCGGACGTTGAACAGTCCTTGATGCTCCAGGTTGGTTTTGTGAATCTCCTGCTGCAGCTCCTTAAACCTCTCGTACCAGATGCTCGACCGACATATGACTTCCCCAACTGCACGCACACCCGCATCGATCATGTTCAAGTCGGGGAAGGCTTTAGCAGCATCCTTGACCACAAGCGCCTCTCTGCAGGAGATACATCAGAGGGGATAAACGAATTAATACAACGGTACAACGAGCAGAAAAAGACAGAAGGGACCAATCTTTGCTAACATCGACATTACCGATGTGCAACGCAATGACACCCGACAAGATGAGGAACGCGTTCACAAGACGGAAAACAAGGCCACCCTTGTCGCCGGTCATGACGGAGGCCCCGTCGGTGCCGACGCCGGACACGCGGTTGATGTTGATGCCGACAGAATCCAAGTGGCTCATGAGCACGGTAAAGAGCGACGAAGCGTCGCACTTTTGCACCGTGAGCAGCGCCAGGAATTCAGTGACTGCAACGCCATTCTTGAGGAAAGTGGCAAACACGATCAAGTGCTTGCCACGCGCGCGGTCGGTGCTCTCGTCACATGTGAGGCCGATGAACGGTGAAGCGAGTAGATGCTGCAGCTGCTGAGATCGCTGGTACTTTGCCATAGCCCCAGCCATCTCATTGAAGCCGTACCTGCCACTCGAAGCGGGTCGGTGTCATGCATGGATGTTCGCCATTAAAAAACATAAACAGTTCTAACTGAAAAAATTAAAGCAACGCTCAACTTACTGCGTAATGTAAACCCCGTAAGACTGCAACGGGATGTCTGCGACACCTTCTTCGGCCATGAAACCCACGAGCTTCGGGAACATGGCGATTGGAGCGTCATGGTCGCAGATGAACTCCACGCTCCGCATGAGGCGAGTGAGCCGCGCACCTTCCTTGTCGGCGTTGGCGAAATCGTCAATCCGCTTCTGCTTTTCAATCTCCGCCATGAGAGTCCGCTGCCTCTTCATAGCTTCGTCGTGGCGGACGCTCAGCTCGTGACATCGCATTGAGCCAAGCTGCAGATCACGTCCGCCAGTTCCGTTCCGTCCAAACTTCGCGTCATCTTTCCCGTGCTCCACACAAATGCTGCATCGCAAAATCGGCAAGCCGTCGTCGTTTTTATCAAGCAGCAGCCATTCAAACTTTGGGAGCCACTGCGTGATGTACAGCTGCTGCGCCTTGTCGAATTTCTCCTTCGACTTTTCGGTGCGGGTGAGTTCACGAGACACACGCGAGGGTGCTTGGACGGGCACCGGAGGCGGAGTCGGCTTCGCAGGGGGCGTGCCGAACGGGAGATAAGCTTGCGCAAACCGCCGTTTCTTCTTAGACGCAGCCGACGAACACTCGCCGATCTCTGTTACGATGACTGTGGCGGGAGCACTGTCGGGCTCAACGGCAGAGGATCCAGCTGGACGAGACGGAGGAACTTTTTCGCCGCCGCAAGATGACGGGCCTGCAGTGCAAACAGGCGGTGGGTTCTGATGCAGGCCTCGGAGAAAATCAAGGTCTGACCGCGATGGAGCCTCTTTTGGTGGCTCGTCTGCAGCTTCTCCTCCATCATCGTCCTGTGTTGGCGCCTGGCTGCGGGTGGGTATCTGGGAAAACTGCAGGCTCAATTGGAAGGAAAGCGCAATTCAGAGAGAGGTCTCTCGTGCAGCTTACCCAGACCACACCACAAGCGTGCTGGTGCCCCCAATCCCAACTGCAGTCCTTTCCTATCGTGCTGGCAAAGGAAGCAGATGAGCCACCCGCAGTTGTGCAAAATGCGCGGTGCCCAGTGGGCTAGTGGGCGCCGACTTTCTGCGGCAGTAAGCACGGTTTCCTGCCCAAAGCGGTCAACTTGGCATGTCAGACAACATGACCGAGTTGATACATTGTCACTGTGTACAATAAAACTGTATTTCTGGCCAATGGTGGGCCACTTCATGCCAGCATATGTATTGTCTGGGCGAAATTTTCAAATTCGACAGTTGGCATTCGGGAATCTGGGGTAACGGAGTAGGGGGGAAGGGGGGGGGGGGGGGGTTGGCGGGGGAAGGGTGGTACTCGCTTCAGGGTAAAACTCGATAAGTGGAACGGCAACCCTGAGGCGACAGTGTGCCTTATTCGTAAACCCTGGCATATCAGGGAAAATCTAGCTCCCCAAAAAATTACCCTAAGGCATCAGTGTTACTACCAAAAACCACCCTGATAATCAGGGTATCAGGGTGATTTACCCTGATAAAATAAGCCCTGACTGACAACCAAGAATAAAAGCCATGACTCCTCCCTTCATTTAGCCCTTAGAATAAAACACAAACCTTGCATGTTGGTTGTTCACAATTGACACTGCAAGTCATGGCACGACCACATGTAGAATCTTCTAACTGATGCAAGTGGTATTTCTAAAGGCAGCACAAGTATTTCGCCATAGATTGCATAGCTACAAGTAAAGCACATGAACTAAGTGGAGCTTCACTGCTGTCACTCCTAGGAGGGTTGCTGTTCCTCGGAAGGGCTGCTGCCCCTTGGGAGGACTGCTGAAGCCGCTGCATGGTCTCTCTGCTCCTGCTGCTCTTCCCCCTCCTCTGCTGCTGGTGCTGCTGCTGCCCTCCCTTCTCTGCTGCTGCTGCTGCTGCCCTCCCTGTTCTGCTGCTCCCCCTGCTCCGTTGCTCCCCCTCCGCACGGAAGCAGCTACCCTGGTCAGCTGAACCAGCTATTCACTCCAGTGAAGCTATTCACGTCGTACCCACTCACGTCAGTGATTCTCCTTGGATGGTTGCATGGACATGGAGTGTTTCTCCTGCACACTGCTGCTGCCCTCCCTGCTCCACTGCTATCCACCACTGCCCCCCCCCCCTCTCTCTCCCCCCCTCCACAGAAACAGCTACCCCGACCAGCTAAGCCACCTATTCACTTCTGTGAAGCTATTCACGTCGTACCCACTCACGTCAGTGATTCTCCTTGGATGGTTGCATGGACATGGAGTGTTTCTCCTGCACACTGCTGCTGCCCTCCCTGCTGCACTGCTATCCACCACTGCCCCCCCCCCTCTCTCTCCCCCCCCCCACAGTAACAGCTACCCCGACCAGCTAAGCCAGCTATTCACTTCAGTGAACGTATTCGCGTCATACCCGCTGACGTCAGTGATTATCCCCGGCTCCACCCAATCCGCGCGGGGGGAGGCCGCGCCCGAGCCCTTGCTGCCCGCCTCCGCCAGGAACATGCAGCTGCCCTCGTTCCACGTCAGCCAGCCATCCTTTTCAATCACCTGTGAGGAAAAAAAGGATGGGGGAAGCAGAAAAGGGTGGGATAATGGTGAGGCTACATGGGGGTATGCTATATAGAGGTATGCTATATAGGGGTGTTCTTTATGTGAAACTGACCGCGGGGAGATTGGCGTTTATGAAAACGGAGAAGGCAGATTTCTTCCACGGGGTGCATAGGGGTGCACAGGGGTGTATAGGGGTACGAAGGGGTTAAACGCTCGTAAATATGAGACGCGAGCTTCAACGCGAATCTCACCGCGGGGAGGTTGGCGTTGATAAAAACGGTGAAGGCGCATTTCTTCCACGGACGGCCAAGATACACCTCGGTAGTACCACTGTCCGCCGCGATTTCCGCGTCGCGGATCACAATCCCGGTTGGCGTTTCCGATTTGCGACCCGACGCCGTTATAGTCACAAACGAAGGGCTCGGGTGTAGCTGGATTTTCGGCGCGTCGATTACAACCGCCGCGTCGCCGAAAATGAAATCCATCGAGCCGCCAATCCAGCAATTCTTGTAGTACTGCCGTCCCGCGTCCACATACAGTGTATCTTGCGCACCGTCGAACGCGCAGTCGAAAAGAGCCGTTTGGTCGCCGGTGGCGCGGAACGCAACAGCTTGGTGGTTTTCGGGACCTGCCGTGTTGACGAACTTGATTCCGAACGCGACGAACCTGTCGGGTGGTAACCAGGTGGGCGGTTTGGTTACGGGTTAGTCATGAGGAGAGAGACGAAGCAAGGGAAACGAGAGCGCAAGCAATCAGGAAAGGGAGTGCGGGGCAGAAAAGAACGGGCGGCATTACCTGTCGCTATCAACTCCAACTGTAGCCGACTCGAACGTTCCCGAGCCGCTGCCATAGCTCTCGTCGCCAGTAATAATCGTCTTATCCGCGCCGGCGCCGATAAGAACAATATCCGTCGTCTCAATCAGAACTTGTTCATTGTACGTCCCCGCGGGAATATAAATCACGAACCGCGTGCCGCCGGGTGCGGCGTCAACGGCGGCCTGGATCGTCGAGTACCCGGATCTGACGGTCGCGCTGGCGGTAAGAGACGGGCTGACAACCATCGGTCCGGCAGTTGGAGACGCTTTCTTGCTGCTCTTCTTGCCGCTGCTCTTCTTATCGCCGCTATCGCTACCGCTGTCGTTGTCCTTGCTCTTCTTCTCCTTGTCCTTCTTATCCTCGTCATCATCATCATCATCGTCGTCATCATCGTCGTCTAATTGCCTCCTCGCCAAGAATCCACCCTCCGAATCCTCCCCGCCAACACCTGAGACGAACGCGGAGTTCATCCTCGTTTGAATCTCCTGCAGTTGCGCGTACAAGCCCGGCTCGAGCCAGTCCATTGCGCCGTTCCCCGCGGAACCCGCGCCGCTGCTGGATCGGACGGCCATGCGGCGTCCGCGCACGGGCGCCACGTCCTCCTCCGTCGATGGGATGTCGATAGCGGCGGCCACGGCAGCTTTCGCGGCGGCGTTGGTGATCGATACGAGCGCGTCGAGCGTGCGGCTCGCCTTCTTAGCCGTGTACTGAGGAAAGGGAAAGGAGCAGGGTGGGTGGGACACCGTTTTTAGAAGGTGCGTTTCCGAAACGAGTAGTTTGTTGGAAGGAAACGGTGGTGGGGCGGTGGTATGCCCCCAACCCACTGAGGGCACTTCGGTGCCTTCGATCCCTTTGACTAGGGATCGGTGGGGTGGCACCGATTGACTTCGGGAGACTCACCCTTCGGTGCCACGTGGCGGCACCACATTCCAACCTTCAAGTGCAAGGCGAATTCGGTGTGTTCGGTGTGAAATTCGGTGGTCGAATTTCACCCCAACCGAAATGTTACACGCGGCGCATTCGCGACGCGAGTGTAGCGATGTGATGTTACATGTGCGGTTCGATGTAATGCATTTGCTATAAATCGACCTGCCTTGTATGCATGCTTTATACTGAAATCCTGAATCTTCTTGTACATGGTCCATTCGAACCAAAATTCCAGAGAGGTCTATCCTTGCTTCTAAGAGCACTAGCAATCACGTGAACGCCAATATCTCGGCGTATACTTGGGCGATTAACGTGTTTGACGGCTTGTTGGAAAGCCAAGACTGTGCTCTATCGTTTAATGCAACTTAGAGTTCCTGCAAAGTAGAGGATACGCCTCTACAACAGTGGTATCAGAGCTGGTCGGTAGAGTCTACGTGCGCGACTTGTAGCAAGCATGATGACGTCAAGCGAAACCTCCGGCACTTCCTTAGGTTGTGTCGTCTCGAATCCCGGCGAACCCTGGACAAACGCGACGGTGTTCGACACGTCGGCGGTTCCGATTTTCACGGGACAAAACTACTCCGCGTGGAAATTTAAGTTCCAAGTGCTCATGATGGAGCGGGGACTTTGGGGTCACTTCGACGGAACGGAGAAAAAGCCGGTCAACGAGGACGAGATCGCGGCATGGAAGAAGAAGGACCAAAAGGCGTTCGCAACGTTGATTTCGCGCATCGGCATCAACCTCGTGAGTTCGGTGCGCACGTGCATCAAGCTCGAAGCTTCGGCGCGTGAAGCATGGAAGCGGCTCGAGACGATGCACGTGAACAAGACTCTCCACGGCAAGATCCTAGCCCGAAATGCGTTCTACACGGTGAAGTTGCGCGCGGGCGAATCGATGCATGAGTATGCGACTCGTGTGGAGGAACTCGGGGAAACGTTCATGGACCTCGGTGGAACGGTCACGGAGGAGGATTGGATTCTCACCTTGCTTTGCGGCCTTCCGGAAGAGTGGTCGACGGTGATTACGACACTCGATAGCGTGCAAAACACTTGGACGAAGGAAATGGTGGTCGGTCGGCTTCTCCATGAAGAATCGCGACGCCGACAATTCGCTAACGAGAGCGTGGAGACCGCCATGTTCTCCGGAGGGAGCTCCGGAAAGAAGTCCAAGTGGAGCAACGGTGAGGCAAAGAAGTCGTCCGGTGGAAACGGTCGCGGCAAGGGCAACGCATCGAACGGTTCGAGCAAGTGTCATTATTGTCGCAAAGCGGGGCACTTTTGGCGTGAATGTCGGAAGCGGCCGAGCGATTGGATTCCATCGAAGGCGCGGAACCAAGAGGGCAACGCGCACACGGCATCCGGCGAGGCGGATGATTCAACGGAGTCGCTCGTTTTGTTGGCCGGTGACGGGATCAACACTTCAAACGACGCGTGGTTCCTCGACACCGGTGCAACACAACACATGACGCACTCGGCGTCGCTCCTCAACAACGGCGGTGCTCCGGGAGACGTCAAGCGCGTCGTCTTCGGGAACGATAAATCGCTACCGGTGGTTGGAGTTGGGAGTACGCGTCTCATCGTCGATGGCGGGCCGGTGGACATCACGAACGTGCTTCACGTCCCGGGATTGAAGGTGAATCTACTCTCCGTCACTCAACTCGCAAAGAAAGACGTGAAGGTCACCATCGATGGCGCGAAGATGAACCTCTTTTGGAAGGGGAAGCAATTCGCGCAAGGCGTTCTCAACGGACAACTCTACCAACTCAAGACGCATCCGACAACGGCCTCATCCAACGTGGCGCAAGGCTCCAAGGCGACTCTCAAAATGTGGCATAATCGGCTTGCGCACGCCAACTACAACTCGGTCAAAGAGTTGGCCAACAAATGACTTGCGAAGGGATTTGACGTGATCGCTGGCAACGACGAGAAGGGCATGTGCGCGGCGTGTGTCGAAGGAAAAATGGCTCGCAAGCCATTTGGTAGCCGTACCTCACCCCTCGCAAAGGACCCGCTTGCGCTTGTTCACATGGACGTGTGTGGACCGATGCGGCATGCATCAAAGGGAGGAGCGCGGTTCCTCTTAGTGATGCTCGACGACGCGACGCGGATGAGTTGGACCCGACTCTTGAAGGCTAAGGGAGATGCGGCCAAGGCGATTCAAGAGTGGGCGCTCGACGTTTGCGACGACGGCAAGAAGCGGATCAAGTGCATTCGCACCGACGGTGGCGGCGAATTCGTGAGCAACGAGCTTGAAAAATGGATGAAAAGCAAGGGCATTAAGCACGACGTCACGACACCCTACACACCCCAACAAAATGGAGCGGTAGAGCGGCTCAATCGCACATTGATGGAGGCCGTTCGTTCACTTCTTCAACACTCCAAGCTTGGGAACGAGTGGTGGGGAGAGGCGAGTGCGCTAGCGGCATGGATTCGTAATCGTGTGCCAACAAAGGTGCTACCGGGAACGACTCCGTTCAAAGCATGGACCGGAACGAAGCCGAACCTATACCGCCTACGCACCTTTGGGTGCCTTTGCTACTACCATGTACCGGATCCACTTCGCCACAAGTTGCAACCGAAAGCTCGTGCGGCGATCTACTTGGGGATTGCGGCGAACGAGCGTGCATGGCGAGTGCGGGATTTGGATGAAAAACGCGTCGTCACGTCTCGGGATGTGATCTTCGACGAAGACAAGTTCCCGACAAAGGAGAAACAAACGCCGCAACTCACCGTCGTCCTTCCCGCACGAGAGGAGGATGAAGCGGTGGAGGTTTCACCGCACGTGAAGAAGGGAGCCGAAAGTGGAGGGGGAGAGAACGAGGAGTGCGATGATGATGTCGAGGAGGTGCCACCAACCGAGGAGGCCACTTCCTCCGCACCTTCTTCCCTACCATTGGCGTTGACTCGCGGGCGTCGTACACCTCGCCCCAACACGAGGTTAACCGACTATGCTACGGTCGCCGTTGGGGAGTCGGATGAGGAGAGTGCGGCGATTTGCCTAGCGACCATCGGCGACGATAACCCACGCACTCACAAGGAGGCTTTGGCTTCCCCGGATGCACCGCTATGGAAGCAAGCGATGGAGAGGGAGTTAGCATCGATCAAGGAGAACGATGTTTTCGAGCTCGTCGACCCGCCGAAGGGTGCCTACTTGGTGGGATGCAAGTGGGTGCTTAGGAAGAAATTGGGAGCCGATGGAGGTGTCGAACGCTACAAGGCGCGGCTTGTGGCGCAAGGGTACACTCAACGGGAGGGGGAGCACTATAGTGAGACCTTCGCTCCCGTTTCGAAGGCCTCCACTCTTCGGGTGTTGCTCGCGCTAGCGGCATCTCTCAACCTCGAGGTGGAACAATTGGACGTTTGCACCGCCTTCCTCTACGGGCTTCTCATGGAAGAAGTCTACATGCGGCAACCCCCGGGGTACGATGACGGTAGCGGTCGGGTGTGGAAGCTCAAGCGTACCCTCTATGGCTTGAAGCAAAGCCCACGCGGATGGTACAAGCGCATCGACGACTTTCTTCTTCAACACGGCTTCGCGCGTAGCGTGTGTGATAGCGCTTTGTACGTGTTGAAGGAGGGGGAGAAGCAATTGGTGCTTTTGCTCTACGTCGATGACCTCCTTCTTTTCTCCGACTCCAAAGACCTCATTCGAGAGGTCAAGCAACGGCTAGGGGCGGAGTTTGCCATGAGGGACTTGGGACCGGTGACGTACTACCTCGGGATGCACGTCGACCGCGACCGCGCGAACGGGACCATTCACCTCCACCAAGAAAAATATGTGAAAGGGGTTGTGGAGCGCTTCGGCATGGGTAATAGCAACCCGGTGGGGACGCCACTAGACACGGGATTTTCTTGCCTCCCGGGAGAGGAAGAATCCGCCCTCGACGAAGCCGAAGGGAAGCGGTTTCATTCGCTAGTCGGCTCACTCATGTATGCCGCCGTTTCCACCCGTCCCGACCTCTCATACGCCGCCGGGGTACTTGGACGAGCCGTAAGCAACCCTCATACCGAGCATGTGCGTGCGGGAGGACGTGTTCTACGCTACCTCCAAGGCACACCCAACTTGGGAATCGTATATGAAGCCGGTCCAATCGTGCTTAAGGGCTACACCGACTCGGATTATGCCGGTGATCAAAGCAAGCGCAAGAGTACCGGCGGGTACGTCTTCACCTTGCTTGGGGGAGCCGTGAGTTGGCAAAGCAAGTTGCAACCAACCGTGGCTCTAAGCACAACGGAAGCGGAGTATATGGCACTCACTCAAGGAGCCATGGAGGCAATATGGCTACGGCGCCTTCTAGCGGAGCTTGGGCATCCTCAAGCCGACCCAACTCCTCTCTTTTGTGACAACCAAGCGGCCATAAACCTCACTCACAATGCCGTCCTTCACGGGCGTACCAAGCACATTGAGGTGAAGCATCACTTCATTCGTGAGGTGGTCGAGAGAGGTGAGGTCAAGGTCACATACATAAGCACCAAGGCGCAACCCGCGGATTTCCTCACTAAACCACTCCCTAAGGATTCATTCCGTGCATGCCGTGAGCGTGTTGGTATGAACACCTAGTGGCTTGGGTGCAAGGAGGAGTGTTGGAAGGAAACGGTGGTGGGGCGGTGGTATGCCCCCAACCCACCGAGGGCACTTCGGTGCCTTCGATCCCTTTGACTAGGGATCGGTGGGGTGGCACCGATTGACTTCGGGAGACTCACCCTTCGGTGCCACGTGGCGGCACCACATTCCAACCTTTAAGTGCAAGGCGAATTCGGTGTGTTCGGTGTGAAATTCGGTGGTCGAATTTCACCCCAACCGAAATGTTACACGCGGCGCATTCGCGACGCGAGTGTAGCGATGTGATGTTACATGTGCGGTTCGATGTATTGCATTTGCTATAAATCGACCTGCCTTGTATGCATGCTTTATACTGAAATCCTGAATCTTCTTGTACATGGTCCATTCGAACCAAAATTCCAGAGAGATCTATCCTTGCTTCTAAGAGCACTAGCAATCACGTGAACGCCAATATCTCGGCGTATACTTGGGCGATTAACGTGTTTGACGGCTTGTTGGAAAGCCAAGACTGTGCTCTACCGTTTAGTGCAACTTAGAGTTCCTGCAAAGTAGAGGAGACGCCTCTACAACATAGTTGAGCAGCAGTCGAAGGGGAAGGGAGGAGCGATACAAGGGGAGAATCAATACCCGAACGGCACGCGGCATCACCATAATTCAGCGCGGAATAAAACCGAGGTGTTTTTTTTGTTTCGATCGAGCTTGGAACTAACCTCGAGGTGGACGTAAGCGGGGAGGCCCTCCGTCGAGGGAGAGAAGGTATGGAATCCGTCGACGCAGTTATCGACCTGCGTGTCGGCGGCGGCCAGCCAGTACGGCACGTCGCGCTGATTCGTGCCGGCTTCGATGGCGTCGCCCGCTTGACTCAGGTATCGCAGCGCGATGTTAGCCTGTCGCGCGCAGGCCCGCGCCATGGCGTTCGTGAAGTGATCGTTCCGCACGTTGCTGGATTTGATTTCGTCCGCCGCCGCGATGATCGCCGCGACTTGCGCTTGCACCCCCGCGACCATGGCAACGGTTACTTGCTCCTGCGACTGCGGCACCACGCTTAGAGATCGTCGTGCCACGCGGAATTCCGCCGCGCAATGGGTGCGGTTGGACGACGCGACGCACGCGCTCGGGTGGGAAATGACGAGGTAATTGTCCGCCATCTCGCAGCAGGAGATGACGGCGAGTGCGAGGCCTACGCCTGCGAATGTCCAGACCGCCGCGCGTTTCACCCACGCGGTTTCCATTTTCTCCGAGGAAAATTCACGGCGGGGAAGTGACTATTCGGTCCCACACGAATGCTCGAAGAGCAAGGGGCAGTCCTGCTGGGGTAGGCCTTACTCCACTGAAACAACGCGACTGGAATGCTGATTAGCGAGAGTGGTAGGTAGAACTAGAATTGTGAGGAGGATGAAGTGAAGACTGTTGGGCGCAATTTTATGTTTGGAGGTGGGGGCTATTTGGTAGGTATTCTGCGCAGGAAGGCGCAGCTGGCTTAGCGCGGCTCGATTTGATGGCTCGAGAAATCGAGGCGCGAGGCGATACACCCTCCATCTATTGGCTCATACGGAGCGCGGAGGGGCTGACTGAGCCGAACCGATCAGAGTCAGGTAGGCCAGTCGGGAAATCGGCTCGTACCCTTTCCAGTCCCCATTCCTACATTTCGGACCCACTAGTGGCATCAGAAGTGAAGTTTGTTCATAACGAGGAACAAATGCCTCAGTATCACGTCCACCAGACCTGTAACTCGTGCACTCGGATCACCCTCTTGAAGTTTCAAGTTCTGGACGGCCCACCCGATGCCGTCCAACCTTTCACCCTCCCCCGAATCCTCCCAGCGATGTGGTGACGGGTGTCACCACACCTTGGACGTGAAGCGACGCGTGGTCCCCGATAGTGATTGTAACGGTTCAGGTTTCCTAGCGAAGCTTTAGCGCTTCGTGAAGACTCGTTAAAGTGGCAGGTCTCGCCATAAGAATCAAGACCAAGCCCCCAGCCGTCGTCCGCTTATAATTGGTCTGATTCGGGACTTGTTTGATGGCAAGGTTGCTGCTCCACAGCGTGCGATCCCTGCGAACAACGGACCCCTGTCGCAAGGAGAATGCTTGCCCTCCATGACAAAACTTCCGCTGTTCGTAGGGCAACCTTGCGAAAGCTTGACTCCACTCGCCAATCACACAAGGGCCTCACTCTAGAACACTATGTGCAAGACGATAATAAGTAAGGTTGTTATATATTTGGCAATAGAGGGAAAAAGTACATCAAATTATGAAAAGCGAGTAATACGGCTCTGACTAACAATTTGCTACGGGAATTTAGCTGCAAATCTATTCATCCGCGTGTCATCAATCGGAGTACTCCGTTTTATGGAGTGAAAATATAGTTGCTACGATACGAAGTTTCCAATCTTATGCAAATCGCCGCCACAACTGATGAACTAGTAACAATTGCCACAGGTGCCACCTGCCCGCCACGCCTGCTTCCACCTGGCCTTCTTCCTACCAATGATGGTTATTGTTACGCCAGTGAAACAACTCTCTTGCAAATGGCCCCATTGCTGCTTCATCCACTTACTGAAGCAGCAGTTGCAGTTATCATAACAGCTACTCAGCCCCTGTTACACCCACCCAATATATATCGGCCTATCCACCCACTCCGACGATACTCTTGGTAAGAAAAGCGCACTGTGCTTGGTCACTTATCTTGTACTGTCTATTGTCGTGTGTTGGTGCTACAGCTGCCCCCGTTGCTCCAGTTCCCCAGTGCATCTCAACAGCTGCTTCTGTTTCTCCTGCACCTGCCTCGTTGGTGCAACAGCTTCCCTAAATTGCTCCAGTGCGGCCCCTGTTTCTCCTGCAACTGCCTTTGCTGGTGCTACAGCTGCCCAGATAGTCCCACCTGCCCCACCCAATCAATCCCTGCTACAACTTTCCCAGTCCCTGCTACACCTTCCCGTTGCAAACAAACTTTTGGCCATTCCAAAAGCATCCAAGGGGTGGGGGAGAAGGAGCGGGGGGCGGGGGAGGGGAAGGGGGAGGGCTCGGGGGAGAGGGGGGTGGAGGAGAGGCAGGAGGGGAGGGAGGAGGAGATGGAGGAGGGAAGGGAGGGGGAGAGGGAGGAGGGAAGGGAGGGGGAGAGGGAGGGGATGGCGAGGGGGGGGGGAGGAGAGGGAGGGGATGGAGAGGGGGGAGGAGGAGAGGGAGGAGGAGAGGGAGGAGGAAAGGGAGGAGGAGAGGGAGGGGATGGAGAGGGGGGGGGAGGAGAAGGAGGAGGTGGAGAGGTTGGAGGGGGAGGTGGAAAGGGAGGAGGTGAGGGGGGAGGGGGAGAAAGAGGAGGGGAGGGTGGGGAGGGAGGTGAAATCGGAGGGGCAGGGGGAGGGGGGGAGTCGGGTGGGGAAGGCGGGGATGGGGGGGAGTCGGGGGGAGAAGGTGGGGGAGGGGAGGAGTCGGGGGGAGAAGGTGGGGGAGGGGAGGAGTCGGGGGGAGAAGGTGGGGGAGGGGAGGAGTCGGGGGGAGAAGGTGGGGGAGGGGAGGAGTCGGGGGGGGAAGGTGGGGGTGAAGGGGAGTCAGGGGGGGAAGGCGGGGGTGAGGGGGAGTCAGGGGGGGAAGGGGGAGATGGAGGAGAAGGGGGAGAGTCGGGGGGTGAAGGTGGGGGAGGGGAGGAGTCAGGGGGGGAAGGAGGGGGTGAGGGGGAATCAGGGGGGGAAGGCGGGGGTGAGGGGGAATCAGGGGGGGAAGGAGGGGGTGAGGGGGAGTCAGGGGGGGAAGGAGGGGGTGGAAGGGAGTCAGGGGGAGGAGGAGGGGGCGGGGGGGCCGGGGAGGAAAACGGTGGGGAAGGAGGAGGGGGAGAGGGAGGAAAGGGAGGTGGGGAAAGGGGAGGGGAAGGTGGTGGTTGCGGTGGTGGGAAAGGGGGAGGGGATGGGGGGGGCGGAGGGGGTTTCCTGGGCAATCCAGGGGAGGGCGCACCTGGCAGGGGAGAAGATTCAAGCAGGGAAACAGGCGGGGAGAAAGAGAAAGAGAAAGAGAAAGAGAAACGGTTAGGAAGAAATGAGGGGAAAAAAGGGAGAACACAAGGCATAAAATGAGTGAGAATCTAAGATATAAAGGAGAGGACGGAGAGGAGGTGAGGAGAAAGTGCGAGGGAGGAAAGAGTACTGTAGCAGCAGATTATGGCGGAGATCAAATGTGAGGAAGAAAAGGGACGAATCTAATGGGAATAATTATGCATGTTTCCACAGCGCAAAATATACTGCTTACATGCAAACGAAACAAATGTGAGAAGTAAAGTCGAAATGCATGTTTCCACAGAGCGAAGTACAATACAATGCTTACATGTGAATGAAACAGCTGGAGGCGACTTGCTGGTTACCACCTTAGCAAGGCACACCCCCGAGCCTCCACACTGCATGTTCTCAGCTTCGGTCGCCGAACCACTCAGCCCCGTTCGGCAGAACAAGCTACAGTCGTCCACGCTCCTCTGCCCTTCCAAACCTAGCGCCGAGCCTGATGCTGCTGTTGCTCCGGTCCCTGTCAGATTATACACTAGGCAGTTCCTTCCCACGCTCAGTGCCAAGCCTGCAGCTCCGGTGCTCTGGATGGTTCCCGAGCCTGGGGCGGAGGTTTGGGAGAGCAGCGGTGTGCCCTGGGTGTCTACGATGCTTGCCGGACCAAAGAAGTAGTTGCGGGAGAGGTCTAGGAGGGCGATGGCTGTGGCTGAGTAAACTTTGGGAAGAGGCCCGGTGAAATAGTTGCGCGAGAGATTGCTGGATGGGGGAACATGTGGGGGGCGTGACACATGGGGTAGCAGGGGCACAATGGAGGGGCGGAAGGGGAACGGGAGGGGAAGAGGAGGGGGTTGGAAGGGGGAATCAATGGAGGTTTGGGAGTGGAGTGGGTGGGATAAGACAGGGAGGTAGCTGCGAGAGCGGGAGAGGTCTAGGAGGGCGATAGACGGGGCGGAATACACGCGGGGGAGAGTGTCGGTTGAGGCGCCTCAGAAATGCGGGAGCGGGAGAGGTCTAGGAGGGGGCGATGGATGGGGCGGAATACACGCGGGGGAGAGGGCCGGTGAAATAGTTGCGCGAGAGATTGCTGGATGGGGGATGGGGGGGGGCTGTGGCCGTGGTGCATGGGCCAGGCGGAGCGGGGAGGGGGAGGAAAGGAGGAGGAAGGGGATGGGGGTAAGAAAGGAGAGGTGGGGGGACTGGGGAGATGAAGGAAGGGCGGGGGGCTGCGAATATAGTTGTGAAATGCTTGCAGATACGCGAGCGAGGGTGGGAGAGAGGGGAAGTGGCTCACAGATACGCGAGGGACTGGAGGTTGCTGTGTTAGAAATGTATGTATAGCATGCTAAATATAAAAGGGGATGGTGCTACACCCAACTTTGGGTGTAGCTTGCTTTGTAGGTCTACACCAAACTTTGTGGTGTAGACTTGCAAGTTGGGGTGCCAATCCAACCCACATGTGTTGGAGCCCCCAAGTGCAAGTTGGGTACCCCCTCTTTGCAACCCACAAGTTGGGTGCCCTCCTTGCAACCCATATGGTCCTTGTTGCAAGTTGGGTGCCCCCTCCTTGCAAGTTGCCATAGGGACTGCCCAACCACCCAACTTACTCCCTTCCCTTCCAAGCTCCTCTTGCATCCTATGTATTCTCCCTTCTTCCCTAATCAACGAAATCATTCACTTCACAATTTTCACATGCTGATCAGCTCTGCCGGCCTCCCACTGAGGGCGTTGGTGCTAGGCGACTGTTGAGTCGACTCAACTCAAAAGCCCCACCTTGTTACCGTGGGAAGGAGGAGAAGTGACTTACAGGTATGCGAGGGACTGGAGATTGCTGATCAGCTCTGCGGGCCTCCCACTGAGGGCGTTGTTGCTGACGTCCCTGCCAGCCGGGGAAACGGATTCCGTTTGTGCGATGGGTCGAGGGAGGTGGAGGAAGGGTGAGCGGCGGGAGCAGTGGAGAAAATGTTACGCGTGTCAAGAGAGCTTTTACTTGGTGAGAGAGAGAGAGAGAGGAAAAATACAAGAGGGGGCTCAGAAACTGGATGGTGTGCTACTTACCTGAATGGTTGGTACTAAAAATACTTGCGTAACTTACCCGAATGGTTGGTACTAAGAGTAAATGTGTAACTTACCCGAATGGTTGGTACTAAGAGTAAGTGCGTTACTTACTCGTATGTATACATGGGCAAACGAGTCGAGTTTTTCCTCGACTCGTTCGAGGGACTCGAAAAGCTCGAGTTTCGAGTTTGCTTTTTTGTCTAAAAAACTCGGTTGCTCGAGTCGAGTTTTGCTCGCGAGTTTAAAAAAACTCGGGAAAAACTCGGCTACCAAGCAAGTTTTTTCAAAACTCGCGAGTTTTGGGGCTCGTGAGCATTTCGCCGCCAGATCTGCTCGCACCTAGCATTTCGCCGCCAGATCTGCTCGCACCTAGCATTCCGCCGCCAGATCCGCCCGCACCTAGCATTCCGCGGCTAGATCCGCCCGCACCTAGCATTCCGCCGCCAGATCCGCCCGCACCTAGATTCCGCCGCTAGATCCGCCCGCACCTAGCATTCCGCCGCTAGATCCGCCCGAACCTAGCATTCCGCCGCCAGATCCACCCGCACCTAGCATTCCGCCGCTAGATCCGCCCGCGCCTAGCATTCCGCCGCCAGATCCGCCCGCACCTAGCATTCCGCCGCTGGATTCGCCCGCCCCTAGCATTCCGCCGCCAGATCCGCCCGCACCTAGCATTCCGCCGCTAAATCCGCCCGCACCTAGCATTCCGCCGCCAGATCTGCGCGCACCTAGCATTCCGCCGCTAGATCCGCACGGCATTTCCTTTCACTAAGCTAGTTTCGTGGGGTGGTGGGTAAGGGGGGTGTTTAACAACGAGTCGAGTTTTACTTGCCTCGGACGAGTTTTCTTTGAACTCGTCCGAGTGTTGAAAAAACTCGGTAAAATGGTCGAGTTTCGAGTTCGCTTTGTGGCACAAAAAACTCGGCGAGTTTTCCTCGACTCGACTCGTGTGTGACAAAAAACTCGTCAAAACGAGTCAAGTAAAACTCGACTCGTCTTTTGCCCATGTATACTCGTATGGTTGGTACTAAGAGTAAATACTTAAATTTACCTGTACGGATGGTATTAAGAGTAGGTGCATAACTTACCCGTATGGTTGGTACTAAGAGTAAGTGCGTTACTTACCCTAATGGTTGGTACTATAAGTAAGTGCGTAACTTACCCGTATGGTTGGAAACAAGAAGAAGAAAAAAAAAAAAAAAAAAAGTGCGTAACTTACCCGTACGATTCCAAACAAGAAGAAGAGAAAAAGGAATAAGAAGGAAAAGGAAGAAAAAGAAGGGAAATATAAAACAACTTACAGTGACATAAGGGATGCGCATGTAGCTACTGTGGCAGGTAGCACACCGGTGAGCTTGTTCTGAGACAAGTCTCTAAAGGGGATGAGAGTGGGAGGGCGATGGATCAGACAGAGAAGCTTTGATTCGTGTAAGCGCGAAAGAAATTAGAGTGTTGCGAAACAGACGAAGCAAACTTGACTCCTACGTCACCTCAAGACTAAAATGTGACGAAGCAGACAGACTTGGAAAAGAAAGAAAGAAAGAAAGCGAGAAAGAAAGAAAGAAAGAAAAGAAAAGAAAAGAAAAAATCGGATTCTGCAATCAAAGTTTGTTTTGTTGACTCAAGAAACACAAAGAAGAGCGAGAGATTGAACCTGCACCTCGCTTACAGCAGACAGAAACCAGGAGCATTGATTTGTTCACTCATACCAGTTTTTTTGCAAGGAAATGAGAGACGGAGGGAGGGTGGGAAAGGAGAGACGGAGGGAGGGTGGGAAAGGAGAGACGGAGGGAGGGTGGGAAAGGGGAGACGGAGGGTTACAGGGAAAGAGAAGGAGGGTTACAGGGAAAGAGAAGGAGGGTTACAGGGAAGGAGGGAAGGGGGTACTCACACAGTATTCAACTCGTTGCCGGGCGGGAAGATGTCCGGGACTGATCCTACCAGCTGGTTGTGTGAGAGGTCTCTGAACGCGTGGGGTGGGAAAAGTGACGGGGAGAGGACATGGGGGGATGAGGAGGTGGGAGGAAGGTGGCAGGGTAAAGTGTGGTGAACACAGGGGGCAAATGTCTGGCAGGCACTGAGCCTACTAGCTGGTTCTGTATAGGTCTCTTCTCTGAACGCGTGGGAGGGAGTATATTTTCGTGTAGTGAGTCTATTTTTGAGTCGACTCAAAAATAGACTCACTACACGCGTAAAGTGTGGTGAACACAGGGGGCAAATGTCTGGCACTGAGCATACTAGCTGGTTGTGCGAGGGGGGAGAGGATATGAGGAGATGGAGAAGTGGGGGGCAAGGTGGCAGGGTAGGGGTGCGATAAACACTGGGGTGAAAGAAAGAGGTATGGGAGGTTGACCTTTGAGAATTCTCAAAAGTCGCACCAAGAGGTACGGAAGGTTGACCAAGGTGGGCGTTCAGTGGAGGTCAGACTTTTGAGAATTCTCAAAAGTCGCACCAATATAGGGGTGCGATAAACACTGGGGTGAAAGAAAGAGAAGAGGTATGGGAGGTTGACCAGGGTGGGCGTTCAGTGGAGGTCAGTGGTGGGTGGGCCCAGCGGGAAGGCAAAGCGACGAGGAAAGGGGAGGTGATAATAAGAGCAAACATACAGGTGATAGAGGGACGGGAGGTTGACCAGGGTGGGTGGTCAGTGGTGGTGGGTTGGCCCAGCGGGAAGGCAAAGCGACGAGGTGAGATGACATACAGGTGATAGAGGTACGGGAGGGAGGTTGACCAAAGTGACTTTTGAGTCGACTCAAAGGTCACCTAAGAAGAAACATACAGGTGATAGAGGTACGGGAGGTTGACCAGGGTGGGTGGAATTTCTCCAACAAGCTTGTTCCGATCCAATTGGCTGGATGAGAGGGGGGGAAGTGAAGAGGGATGCAGTGCGGTGCAGCGAGTTTGATTTACGAAAAGGAATGGTAGAGCGACTTACAGGTAGGCGAGCGAGGTAGGTAAGTTCGCCAAGGCCGGGAGGGATGGATGGGGTAGGAGAGGGCGTTGTTGTGTTGCTAACTCAAACGACATGGCAGAGGGTGCGGGTTACAGGTATGCGGGGTGGGAGAGTTCGCCAAGGCCGGGAGGGATGGGGCTGGTGAGAGGAGAGGGTGTGAGAGGAGAGGGTGTGAGAGGAGAGGGTGTGAGTGGAGAGGGTGTGAGTGGAGAGGGTGTGAGAGGAGAGGGTGTGAGTGGAGAGGGTGTGAGAGGAGAGGGTGTGAGTGGAGAGGGTGTGAGAGGAGAGGGTGTGAGTGGAGAGGGTGTGAGAGGAGAGGGTGTGAGTGGAGAGGGTGTGAGTGGAGAGGGTGTGAGTGGAGAGGGTGTGAGAGGAGAGGGTGTGAGAGGAGAGGGTGTGAGAGGAGAGGGTGTGAGTGGAGAGGGTGTGAGAGGAGAGGGTGTGAGTGGAGAGGGTGTGAGTGGAGAGGGTGTGAGTGGAGAGGGTGTGAGAGGAGAGGGTGTGAGAGGAGAGGGTGTGAGAGGAGAGGGTGTGAGTGGAGAGGGTGTGAGAGGAGAGGGTGTGAGAGGAGAGGGTGTGAGAGGAGAGGGTGTGAGTGGAGAGGGTGTGAGAGGAGAGGGTGTGAGAGGAGAGGGTGTGAGTGGAGAGGGTGTGAGTGGAGAGGGTGTGAGAGGAGAGGGCGTTTGTTACTGGCGTCTTAGTCTGAGTTGACTCAAAAGCCAGCCGGTGTGAGGTGTGAGAGGAGAGCAGAGGGGCTTACAGATAGGCGAGATATGTGAGCTCGCCAAGGGCGGTGAAGAGGGATGCAGTGCGGTGCAATGAGGGGCTTACAGATAGGCGAGATATGTGAGTTCGCCAAGGCCGGGATGGATGGGGCCGGTGAGAGAGGGTGCCCTTGACTTTGACTCCGGAAGAGAAAAGGCGAAGTAGGGTTTAGGGTATGGCAGGGAAGCTCACAGATAGGCGAGATAGGTTAGTTCGCCAAGGCCGGGATGGATGGGGCCGGTGAGAGTGTTGTTGCTGGCATCGCTGGTGTGGGGGATGGGGACAGGAGAAAGAAGAGAGAGGGGTGGAGAGGGGTGGAGAGAGGCAGAGAGAGGCAGTGAGGATGCTGAGGGTGGTGGGAGGGATTGGGCCGGTGAGAGTGTTGTTTCTGGCATTGCTGGTGTGGGGGAAGGGGACAGGAGAACGAAGGGAGAGGGGTGGAGAGGGGTGGAGAGAGGCAGAGAGGGACAGTGAGGATGCTGAGGGTGGGAGGGATGGGGCCGGTGAGAGTGTTGTTGCTGGCATTGCTGGTGTGGGGGATGGGAGTTCAGGGGAAGGGTACAGGAGCAGAGACCAGGGAGATGGGCAGAGAGAGGCAGAGAGGGGCAGAGAGGGGCAGAGACGGGCAGAGAGGGGCAGAGAGGGGAGGGGTGGGATTCGGGTGAGTGTTGCTGCTGAGGTTGGTGCATGAGGGATGAGGGCAGGAGGGAGGAGGAGGAATGGGGAAGAGGTGGAAGAGGAGGTGACATGGAAGGTGATATTGCTGGCAGTGCAGTGCAGTGCTGGCATGGGAATAAGGGGAGGGAAGAGGAATCGAGCCTCAAACTCGTTTGCACCGCTCTGAACCGAGGGGCAGTACTCACAGGTGGGAGAGGAGGGAGAGAGCAGAGAGGGAGGCAGGCAGGGTGGAAGAGAGGCGGTTGGAATCAATGAGGCTGCAACAGGGCGGGTAAGGAGAATATGGGGCAGTGGGACAAGGAGAGGGGGAGCGAGCGAGTGGCAAGAAGGGTAGGGGGGGGCAGGGAAACCAGGAAAGGGTTTTTTGTGTGAAAGAAGGCACCACTGTTATGCTTCTGATAGCCCACGTGGATCACATGAAGCACATGAAACACAGACTTACAGGAATCTAAGCCTGTTTTGAGACGTCTCAAAACACGCTTCTGATAGCCCACATGGATGACATGGAACACATGAATCACAGACTTACAGGAATCTAAGCCTTGATAGTTTGCTGATGGCTGCGGGGATTGAACCTGTGAGACGATTGTTGCTCAGATAGCTGGCAGGCAGGGACGATGGGGAGGGAGGGATGGAAGGAATAGAGCTGAGACTGGTGGGATAAGAAAGGGATGACGGGTAGCCTGTTGGAACAACTTTCCCTTTCAACAGGCAACAACTTTCCTCTTCAGCCTCCATTGAAGAGTCTGTTGGTTGTTCAGATAAATCCGAAGCCAGCCGTTTCATCTTTCAGCCTCGTTCTTACCCTCATTTTCAGTGTCCACTTAAAGCCAGAACAGGTGGACACATGCTGGCAGGGTGGATGGGATGGATGACGTCAGCATTGAAAGGAACGGTAGGTGGCGATAAGAAACAGTAGGTGGATGGATGTTATGTTTCTATTCTTCTTAAGTCGACAACACGATGGGATGGAACCAATGGTGTTAACAGTGTTAATGCACGGAATCTCCAAAACCAAACGTTTCATTCTCAGCGTTTCATTTTCGTTTCGGGTGCCTGCCTTCCTTCCTTCACCACCCTGCCTTCCTTCCCCACTTACAGCCAGAAGAGCTTGACACATGATGGCAGGGTGGACGGGATGGATGACGTCAGCATGTTGTCTCTCAAATCCCTGTCGTGCCATGCCATGCCACCATGGCATGGCATGCCAACACAGCGCACAGCAAAGCACATAGCATACATGTGATTTAGGCCACGGCCTGCCTGTTATGTCAGCAGAATCTGAAGCACATGGCAGCTTCTGAGAACCTTTGAGGACGCCTCAAAATGCAGCCCACAAGGAACGGCAAGGCAGGAAACAACAGAACAGTGGCTGCTGCTGCCGCTGCTGCCGCTGCTGCCGCTGCTGCTGCCGCTGCTGCCGCTGCTGCCGCTGCTGCTGCTGCTGCTGCTGCTGCTGCTGCTGCTGCTGCTGCTGCTGCTGCTGCTGCTGCTGCTGCTGCTGCTGCTGCTGCTGCTGCTGCTGCTGCTGCTGCTGCTGCTGCTGCTGCTGCTGCTGCTGCTGCTGCTGCTGCTGCTGCTGCTGCTGCTGCTGCTGCTGCTGCTGCTGCAACTAAGCATGAATCTGATATCTTACGGTGGCAGCTGCAGGGCTTTTAGTTGGGACTCGGGCTTTAAGGAACACTTACAGCAGCTGCAGGGCTTTATAATTAGACACTTGCGGTGCTATGCTGCCTGATAGGCGGTTGGAACGCAAAGACCTAAGGGAGGGAGGGGGAGGGGGGGGGGGAGGGAGAAGAAGAGAGAGAGAGAGGAGGACTATCAATGAAGGACTGCTTGAGAGAGGAGGACCGTCTGAGAGGAAGAGAGAGGAGAGTTCCTTGAGGCACCTCAAAGGACACGTGCAGTGCAATGCTGCTGGAGAGGCGGTTGGAACGGAGAGACCTAAGGGGGGCCAGGGGCAGGGGGTGGTGTTGAAATCGACAGACGTGGACCGAGCCTCTCGCCAAAGCTCAAATCTGGGAAAAAAAGAGGGCAATTGACAAAGTACAGTTTATATATGACTTGTTTCTCGCACAACACTACTAGGGCAAAAAAAAAGGGGGGAACTTTCGAGGCGCCTCAACACTCAAATCTGGCGTACAACTCATACACTCCTTCTTGCATGGCACTACATGGGTAAAAAAAGGGGGAATTTTGTGCGACCTATCGCACGGCCATTGGCTTTGCTGGTACAGAAGTCTTGAGAGGAGGCGAGAGGCACACAGATTGTTACCTTTTTCTGAGATTTCTCAAAAAGTGGCACAAACAACCCGAGACTGTCTGTAAGCGGCTCGCAATCAGTGGGGTTACACACAAGGTCACATCGTTTCATCCCAGCCAATGGTAGGACAGGGATTTGGAACGCTGGATTCAAAAGACCTCTCAAAATATCTTAGGTCATATTATACAGTTGAGGTGATACTATATACTTGAGGTCTTATCATATACCTGAGGTTCTATTATATACTTGAGGTCTTATCATATACCTGAGGTTCTATTATATACTTGAGGTCTTATTATATGCTTGAGTAGGGGACAAGAAAGGGTTGGAGGAGGTACGAACAGGTAAGAGATGTTGGTAAGGGAGGGAAGCTGCTAGGGCATGAAGGCTTGAGACAGTACTGACAGCAGTTGAGTAAGAGAGAGAGAGGGACGAAGAGTAGGTGCGAACAGGTAAGAGTTGGTGAGGGAGTAGAGCTGCGAGGGGTTGAAGGCTTGACTCGAGAGGTCTCATTTAGGTTGGACGAAAGGAGTAGGAAAGGAAGGGTGAAGAAGGAAGGGTGGTACGCACAGGTAAGACATGTTGGTGAGAGAGTAGAGCTGCGAGGGGATGGGGCCGGTAAACCGATTGCCGTCCAAGCGGCTGTGTGGGGGTGGGGGGGGAAGGGCATGGGGGGAGGAAGGAGGGAGGGCAAGGGAGGGGGAGGGGGCGGGCAAGAGTGCTTTGGGTCGAGTCAAGACAACACGAATAGAGAGCTGCGAGGGAATGGGGGCGGTAAACTGAAAACACAAACGGCAACTTATATGGGAGGGAGGGAGGGAGGGAGGGAGGGAGGGAGGGAGGGAGGGAGGGAGGGAGGGAGGGAGGGAGGGAGGGGGGGAGGGAGGGAGTTTTGCAAAAGAGATGGAGCAAGAGCAAGTGTGCTTGGAGTGGCATGGCTATGGCATGGCACGGCAGGGCATAGCATGACACTCACAGGAAGGCAAGGTGAGAGAGTTTGGCAAGGCCAGTGGGGATTTTCCCTGTGAGCTGGTTGTTAGCTAGGTTGCTGGTGTGGACGAGGGGGGTGGAGAGGGGTGGAGAGGAGTGGAGAGGGGGGAAGGGGGGTTGCATGGTGGGAAATCTTGGCAAGGCCAGTGGGTATGCTCACTGTGAGCAGGTTGTTAGCTAGGTTGCTGGTGGTTGGGGGGAGAGGAACGGAGAGTAAGAGGCGAAAGAGGAAGGGAAGAGAGAAGAAGTATGTTTGACGTTTGTGGGGGAAAAAAGAAAGGCCGGTGGGTATGCTCCCTGTGAGCTGGACGTTAGCTAGGTTGCTGGTGGGTGGGAGGGAGGGGGAGGGAGGGGGAGGGAGGAGAGGGGGGGAAGGGGGGGCCGGGGCGGGAGGAGTAAAAGAGGAATGCAGAACGGTTGCCAGAGAGATTAGCAAGACCAGTGCCAATGCAACTCAAGTGCAGTGCCAATGCAATGCAGATTAGACAGCAGCCCTCCTCTCACAGTGTGCGACGTGATAAAAGAAGTGTTTTGAGACGTCTCAAAACAATTCAATTCCAGTGCAGTGCCAATGCCATGCAGATTAGGCAGCAGCCCTTCTCTTACAGTGTGCGCAGTTGACTTTTGAGTCGACTCAAAAGTCAACTTAGACAGCAGCCCTGCTTACAGTGTGCACAAGTGTAACAGGCGAGTGACAGCAGAAGAGAATGACACGCCCAAACCGCTATTGAGGGAAGGGAGGGAACTACAGCAGAAGAGAATGACACGCCCAAACCGCTATTGAGGGAAGGGAACTACAGCAGAAGAGAATGACACGCCCAAACCGCTAATGAGGGAAGGGAACTACAGCAGAAGAGAATGACACGCCCAAACCGCTATTGAGGGAAGGGAACTACAGCAGAAGAGAATGACACGGCCAAACCGCTATTGAGGGAAGGGAACTACAGCAGAAGAGAATGACACGCCCAAACCGCTATTGAGGGAAGGGAACTACAGCAGAAGAGAATGACACGCCCAAACCGCTATTGAGGGAAGGGAACTACAGCAGAAGAGAATGACACGCCCAAACCGCTATTGAGGGAAGGGAACTACAGCAGAAGAGAATGACACGCCCAAACCGCTATTGAGGGAAGGGAACTACAGCAGAAGAGAATGACACGCCCAAACCGCTATTGAGGGAAGGGAACTACAGCAGAAGAGAATGACACGCCCAAACCGCTATTGAGGGAAGGGAACTACAGCAGAAGAGAATGACACGCCCAAACCGCTATTGAGGGAAGGGAACTACAGCAGAAGAGAATGACACGGCCAAACCGCTATTGAGGGAAGGGAACTACAGCAGAAGAGAATGACACGCCCAAACCGCTATTGAGGGAAGGGAACTACAGCAGAAGAGAATGACACGCCCATACCGCTATTGAGGGAAGGGAACTACAGCAGAAGAGAATGACACGCCCAAACCGCTATTGAGGGAAGGGAACTACAGCAGAAGAGAATGACACGCCCAAACCGCTATTGAGGGAAGGGAACTACAGCAGAAGAGAATGACACGCCCAAACCGCTATTGAGGGAAGGGAACTACAGCAGAAGAGAATGACACGCCCAAACCGCTATTGAGGGAAGGGAACTACAGCAGAAGAGAATGACACGCCCAAACCGCTATTGAGGGAAGGGAACTACAGCAGAAGAGAATGACACGCCCAAACCGCTATTGAGGGAAGGGAACTACAGCAGAAGAGAATGACACGCCCAAACCGCTATTGAGGGAAGGGAACTACAGCAGAAGAGAATGACACGCCCAAACCGCTATTGAGGGAAGGGAACTACAGCAGAAGAGAATGACACGCCCAAACCGCTATTGAGGGAAGGGAACTACAGCAGAAGAGAATGACACGCCCAAACCGCTATTGAGGGAAGGGAACTACAGCAGAAGAGAATGACACGCCCAAACCGCTATTGAGGGAAGGGAACTACAGCAGAAGAGAATGACACGCCCAAACCGCTATTGAGGGAAGGGAACTACAGCAGAAGAGAATGACACGCCCAAACCGCTATTGAGGGAAGGGAACTACAGCAGAAGAGAATGACACGCCCAAACCGCTATTGAGGGAAGGGAACTACAGCAGAAGAGAATGACACGCCCAAACCGCTATTGAGGGAAGGGAACTACAGCAGAAGAGAATGACACGGCCCAAACCGCTATTGAGGGAAGGGAACTACAGCAGAAGAGAATGACACGCCCAAACCGCTATTGAGGGAAGGGAACTACAGCAGAAGAGAATGACACGCCCAAACCGCTATTGAGGGAAGGGAACTACAGCAGAAGAGAATGACACGCCCAAACCGCTATTGAGGGAAGGGAACTACAGCAGAAGAGAATGACACGCCCAAACCGCTATTGAGGGAAGGGAACTACAGCAGAAGAGAATGACACGCCCAAACCGCTATTGAGGGAAGGGAACTACAGCAGAAGAGAATGACACGCCCAAACCGCTATTGAGGGAAGGGAACTACAGCAGAAGAGAATGACACGCCCAAACCGCTATTGAGGGAAGGGAACTACAGCAGAAGAGAATGACACGCCCAAACCGCTATTGAGGGAAGGGAACTACAGCAGAAGAGAATGACACGCCCAAACCGCTATTGAGGGAAGGGAACTACAGCAGAAGAGAATGACACGCCCAAACCGCTATTGAGGGAAGGGAACTACAGCAGAAGAGAATGACACGCCCAAACCGCTATTGAGGGAAGGGAACTACAGCAGAAGAGAATGACACGCCCAAACCGCTATTGAGGGAAGGGAACTACAGCAGAAGAGAATGACACGCCCAAACCGCTATTGAGGGAAGGGAACTACAGCAGAAGAGAATGACACGCCCAAACCGCTATTGAGGGAAGGGAACTACAGCAGAAGAGAATGACACGCCCAAACCGCTATTGAGGGAAGGGAACTACAGCAGAAGAGAATGACACGCCCAAACCGCTATTGAGGGAAGGGAACTACAGCAGAAGAGAATGACACGCCCAAACCGCTATTGAGGGAAGGGAACTACAGCAGAAGAGAATGACACGCCCAAACCGCTATTGAGGGAAGGGAACTACAGCAGAAGAGAATGACACGCCCAAACCGCTATTGAGGGAAGGGAACTACAGCAGAAGAGAATGACACGCCCAAACCGCTATTGAGGGAAGGGAACTACAGCAGAAGAGAATGACACGCCCAAACCGCTATTGAGGGAAGGGAACTACAGCAGAAGAGAATGACACGCCCAAACCGCTATTGAGGGAAGGGAACTACAGCAGAAGAGAATGACACGGCCAAACCGCTATTGAGGGAAGGGAACTACAGCAGAAGAGAATGACACGCCCAAACCGCTATTGAGGGAAGGGAACTACAGCAGAAGAGAATGACACGCCCAAACCGCTATTGAGGGAAGGGAACTACAGCAGAAGAGAATGACACGCCCAAACCGCTATTGAGGGAAGGGAACTACAGCAGAAGAGAATGACACGCCCAAACCGCTATTGAGGGAAGGGAACTACAGCAGAAGAGAATGACACGCCCAAACCGCTATTGAGGGAAGGGAACTACAGCAGAAGAGAATGACACGCCCAAACCGCTATTGAGGGAAGGGAACTACAGCAGAAGAGAATGACACGCCCAAACCGCTATTGAGGGAAGGGAACTACAGCAGAAGAGAATGACACGCCCAAACCGCTATTGAGGGAAGGGAACTACAGCAGAAGAGAATGACACGCCCAAACCGCTATTGAGGGAAGGGAACTACAGCAGAAGAGAATGACACGCCCAAACCGCTATTGAGGGAAGGGAACTACAGCAGAAGAGAATGACACGCCCAAACCGCTATTGAGGGAAGGGAACTACAGCAGAAGAGAATGACACGCCCAAACCGCTATTGAGGGAAGGGAACTACAGCAGAAGAGAATGACACGCCCAAACCGCTATTGAGGGAAGGGAACTACAGCAGAAGAGAATGACACGGCCCAAACCGCTATTGAGGGAAGGGAACTACAGCAGAAGAGAATGACACGCCCAAACCGCTATTGAGGGAAGGGAACTACAGCAGAAGAGAATGACACGCCCAAACCGCTATTGAGGGAAGGGAACTACAGCAGAAGAGAATGACACGCCCAAACCGCTATTGAGGGAAGGGAACTACAGCAGAAGAGAATGACACGCCCAAACCGCTATTGAGGGAAGGGAACTACAGCAGAAGAGAATGACACGCCCAAACCGCTATTGAGGGAAGGGAACTACAGCAGAAGAGAATGACACGCCCAAACCGCTATTGAGGGAAGGGAACTACAGCAGAAGAGAATGACACGCCCAAACCGCTATTGAGGGAAGGGAACTACAGCAGAAGAGAATGACACGCCCAAACCGCTATTGAGGGAAGGGAACTACAGCAGAAGAGAATGACACGCCCAAACCGCTATTGAGGGAAGGGAACTACAGCAGAAGAGAATGACACGCCCAAACCGCTATTGAGGGAAGGGAACTACAGCAGAAGAGAATGACACGCCCAAACCGCTATTGAGGGAAGGGAACTACAGCAGAAGAGAATGACACGCCCAAACCGCTATTGAGGGAAGGGAACTACAGCAGAAGAGAATGACACGCCCAAACCGCTATTGAGGGAAGGGAACTACAGCAGAAGAGAATGACACGCCCAAACCGCTATTGAGGGAAGGGAACTACAGCAGAAGAGAATGACACGCCCAAACCGCTATTGAGGGAAGGGAACTACAGCAGAAGAGAATGACACGCCCAAACCGCTATTGAGGGAAGGGAACTACAGCAGAAGAGAATGACACGCCCAAACCGCTATTGAGGGAAGGGAACTACAGCAGAAGAGAATGACACGCCCAAACCGCTATTGAGGGAAGGGAACTACAGCAGAAGAGAATGACACGCCCAAACCGCTATTGAGGGAAGGGAACTACAGCAGAAGAGAATGACACGCCCAAACCGCTATTGAGGGAAGGGAACTACAGCAGAAGAGAATGACACGCCCAAACCGCTATTGAGGGAAGGGA